GCTCCAACGGACCAATGCATTAAAGGGGTGATTGGCTTGATTTATGGGATTGAATAAATTTGGGATCTGCAGGATATTGGCTTCCCATCGATGTTTGGAACTTACCCATCGCTGGTAAGCCAATTTTCCTTCAGTTTTGAAGCCAACGGTCACCTACCCATCGATGGGTAAATTCTTCCCATCGCTGGGTGGGAGGTTGTCTTTCAAACAAGGAAAGAATCAGCCTTAAATGACTCACAACGGTCATGCCTAACAAGCGATGGGTATGCCCTCCCATCGCTGGGTTCCCATCGATGGGTAAAGGTTCCCATCGCTGGGAAGGGGCATTCTGCCTTGTGATAATGTTGGACCAAGGCTTGAACAACGATGGGTAGAACTTCCCATCGCTGTTTGGCATGGTTCTGTAAGTTGGTTTGGCTTAGGGACCGCTTACCCATCGATGGGAAGATCTTCCCATCACTGGGTGGGTGGTTAGCCAAAAACCCATGGTCTTTGCCTTAACCACGGCCTAGCCAACCGATGCAAAAACCGACCGAAAAATCCAAAGTTCTCCAAAATAAAAACCAAGTGTTTGAAACACTTATTTGATGTATTTGGCTAAGAAATCAAGTGAGTTACTTTAAAAACCACGTCATTTGAGTAAAAACCACGGCTAGCCAAGTTTACGCCGTTTTGCGTGGTTTTTGTCAAACGACTAAAAGCGAAAGATGGTTTTCAAAGTGTTTTTGTTGGAGAACCGTTTAAACATGCCAAAGAGTGAAAGCAGATCATAAAATGCTGAAAACCACTTGGTTGGTTCGGATGCCAAAAACCAAGGCCGATAACCGAAAGCCGAACGCTGGTTTCTGAAAGCCGAACACTGGATGACTTGGTTTTTGGTTTGGGCGAACACCAAGTGTTTTTAATGACTTAAACAAGCTTGAAAAACATTTTTATGATGTAAGAAATGCAATGAGAGATTTTAGCCTAAAGAGCCAAGGTGTAAAGATTGGGTCGGTCTTGATCACAATAAAGACCGACTCAATACTATGACTAAGGTCTTCGTTCTTGGTCTTCGTTTAGCTCTTGCTCTTATCTTCGTTCTTCGCCTTGTATATTCAATGTTTGACTTGATCACGACGGTTTGGCATTATCAAAACCTGTCATAAGAACAAACACGGCTTTAGTACGAAAAACGTGACAGGCCCGTGTTTCAACAACATGGCCTTCGAAAATGATTAGGCGGGCTGCCTATTAACAATGGAGTGGTGCTTGAGTAAAAAGACGTTTTGAATTCTTACCTCTTTATATGAAGTTATAAATGCATACTACAAATGGCACATTAGACATTTTCAGCTTATACATGGTACAATAAACTTCATTTGCCTCTTCTATAAAGTTTTGGGTTGTGTGCAAGTTGATCCCCATTGCGGGGTAAGGGGTGGTCAGATGCAGACCACTATGTTTAAAGTATAGAACGGCTGTTTCTAGATGACTCGTGACGAGCCTAGAAAATTGTATTGACTAACTGTTACTTCACTATTAAAAGAAGCCAATATAGTTTAAAGAGTGATTTTGCTTTACTCCATTATTATTATACCCCAAAGCAAAAAAAGTTGTGAATATTTGGCTTCATCGGAGGACGGAGATGATGCAACTTGATGCCCAAACTGAGATTATTCTAGTTTTTTGTTAAATATTTGCTCTTTTGATAATGATCCCCTCTTATCCCAAAACATAGACTCAGAAACAATTCATGCAGTGACTCGTGAACAAGATGTTACCTATGACTCTATGAGACACACATCTCACTTGAAGATATCTTTATGCCTATGTTTTCTTCACCATATTTTACTCGTGTTATATATGGTATTGTTATATATGGTATTGTTATATTTTACTCGTGATCAAAGAATCTTAGTAACTTTACATTGCACATACATTTGATTATATTTTATTACGTCTTGCCAAATCACACCTTAATTCTTTTGGAGAAACATCTTTCTTAGCCTGAAGCATATTTATCAAGCCAGGCACAGATAAAGGGAAATATAATGTAGAGTCACAATGTGTTTGGTATCTCTATCCTGATTGAGCTTGAAGGTTGATAAATACTTCCTTTGTCCTAGTGTATTTGTCCTAAAATCCTTTTTGGGTTGAAATAGGCTATTGGGCGCTTCAGTGCAATTTAGGCAGCCTAAGCACCTAAATTAAGCACCTTTCAATATATTTTATTTAGTTAAATCGATATAAATATTATCAAAGTATTAATAATTACTCGTATTAAATAGAAGATAAAAATTACAACACAGAGAAGCTGCCAACGGGTTACTTTATGAAAAACTATGGAACACACAGTTGTTTAGTCGGTTTAGATGAATAGACGATAAAATATACTTAAACATTTCAGTGCAGGATCGGGGATCCACAAAAGTACCAAAGAAAACAAGGGAAACAAAAATATGTAATCTGTGGGGTTTGCACTATGAAACAAAAATATTTATTTTTATATGGATTCTACATATACCAATTATCTATCACACAATTAAGCTAAGTAATTTACTGTAAATAAATTACCCTGTAATAATGTTCATCATTCATACATGTTGAACTGTTGGTACACGCGCACACATGCATATACACAAATATTTAATAGTCATCATATATAAGAAAAAGTCTAGATGTATTTCGAGGCTTCGTCTAGCTGACACTTGACAGACAACTAACTAAATACTTGGGCTTGACTAAGAATAGCCATACACAGACTGGTGAGTATTAGACATTCTTGTAAAGAAGTCAAGGGGCAAAAGCAGTAGTACCATTCCAATAAAACCAGTTGGTAAATTTGAATTGGTAGCAATTAATTTCTTCGTCCTAACTTCAATCTTTTACTTTAAGTTTGAGCATATTTATGTGCTAGTGAATGAATAGTTAACATCTAGGTGTAATGATATAAACTTAAAACTTGCACTTTGTAGCAGCTATGAGTGACAAAAGCCCAATATGAACTGGGCATGCATGAGATGAGATATATATGTATCAACTAGTTTCAGTTCAATGTGAATAACCTGCACGCTTTTTTACTCCCCTGTGTTGTTTTAGCTGGAGAGAAGGGATTGTCGTTGAAAAGAACAAAAAGGATGAAACTATATTGAGCGTCAATTTTCCAGGTATGTTAAGTTATAATGGAAATTTTGGTCGTGGGTCTCTTACGTCACTGAATCAAGGATAGTTGAAGGACCAAAACAGCAATTTCCCCTAACCCATATTTTCCATCTCCAGTTAAAGTTTAGTTACGATTGCTCATGTGATGATTCATGAGACCTTATATTTACAGCACAGGGAGATACTGCAGTGGTTAGAGCTTGGAACCTCCGCCCAACCCTTATTTGGAAGGATGGAGTGTGGGTAGAGTGGCACACCTCAAGAGATGAGTCTGCTTTTAAGGTATGAATCATCACCATCAACATCTTAATTCAACCAAGATAGGAATCCATCACATGCATGACACGTATGTTAATCAAAGCCCCCCCCCCCCCCAAGCAAGGATTATTTGGTTGAAATGAATGAATGTGCTGAGCTTCCTGATAAGCTAACACCTCACAAGTTACATGGCCTAAATTCATGTAAAAAAACATATTGACTGTTTTATTGTGGCAACCTTCTTCCAAAAGAATAATGAGATGAAACCCCAGAACTGTCATCAAGATAAAATGTTCCACTCTGCATGGAAAGTATCATGAGACGATGTTGACTTGAGATAATATGCACATGGATGTTTTACTATTGTTTATAATTGCACCAAAATTAGTTTTTTCTAGTTTGACTTGATTGGTATGTGCCTCTGCAGCATGATACTCCAAAAACGAAAAGAATGAAGTTGGGAAGCCCTGCTGGTGAGACCAGTGTAATGACCAATATCTCAAAAGAAGACATTGATGTCCCAAGATCTCGGGAAAATGGTGAAGAAAGTTTGCTCCCGCTATCTGATAATGAAAAACTGTATAATGGTGGTAAAAATTGTTACGAGGATAAGCCCAACAAACCCAGAACAACTAGATCTGGTGTACAAAAAGAAGGGTCCAAAGTTGTTTTTGGCGTACCCAAACCAGGAAAGACTCAAAAATTTATAGAAGTAAGCAAGCAGTATGTTTCAGAATGGGGCAGGAAGAACAATGATTCCGTTCATAACTTTGCAAAGTATGTAATGCCACAAGGGTCTGAAGCTCGAAGGAAAGACAATAATAATTCAAAAACCAGTGCTGAAGAGAAGGAAGTACCTGAATTCAAATCCAGGTCTCTTAAATCTAGAAAACCACCGCTCAGTTCATGCCGGACTTCAAAAGATACCTCTTTGACACCGATCACTGAAGAAGCAGGTGAAGAATGTGCACAAAACTATTATGAGACTCTTTGTGCTGAATCTGTTAAGGAATCAAAAACATCATCAAGCAAACCTGTGATGGTAAAGGGAAATAATGCTCCTTCCAGTAGCAAGGAACCCAAAGTTGAGATTGACAAGCCCATTCCTGAAGCCAGTGGACCACCACGGAGGTCAAATCGTATGATTCATCCGACATCAAGGGTAAGCCTTTGGGTCTTATTACTCTCTATTTTAATACTCGTACATAAATAGATCCTTGAATCTATACCGGAGTATTTCTTTAAATCTTTGGTTTTAAATCTCAAGTTGGTGTTGATCATGTCAAAGAAGATTTTCCACTTTTGGTCCAGGGCTTTCATTTTTCACTTTTGGTACACCACAATCGATTCCTTGCCACTCTTGGTCCTCTTGGCCTCTTATCTGTCCATTTTCTGGTTGGTTTTTTCTAGAGAAGTGGCCAGAAATGACACAAAATGATAAGAAATCCATAGCCGTGCAACAAAAGTGGAAAAGATAAAAATCAAAATGAGGGACCTGAAGTGGGAATGACCTATTATCCTTGAGACCAAAAAGTGAAAGTTTTTGTCTAATGTCATATGTCACTTTTCTTTTGCCCACAAGTGTCTAGTATTCGGCTAACCAGACTTTCACCTGATGCAGTTGCTGGAAAGTTTGCAGAGCTCAATACTTGTTCCGAAATTCCCATCTTTGTCTCACAACAAAGGTCACAGAAGCCACCACAGGGACACACCTAAAGGGTAACAGTTTGGATTTGACATTTTCACCTCCCTGCAAAGGATGGGTGTCCTTCACTTGTAAGTTAATTCCAGAATGTGATTATGTAATAATTCCATACGCGACCGCATGACTTCTAGTAGTGTCACAACGATCAAGACGCATAATTTTCTTTCTTTAGAATTTATTTGAGGTGAAACTGGGGATGGGAAAAACATTAGCTGTTGTAATCTTTAGGCAGTAGGTGTTTATAAATAGGTCTGTACATGAAACTCTTCTTCTAGTTGGATAAATGCTGCAGTCATATACTGTATTTCAAAACTTGGTATTGTATTAGGCATTTATGCTAAAGTGTAAGAACTAAACTCTCCTTTTTCTTCAGGAAATTTGCTAACTATAGGTTTAAATCTATATGTTTGCGACTGAGATCATTGCGACTGAACTTTTACTACGGATTTTCCATCGCAGATGTGCTTTACTACGGATCTCCCTTATATTTGCGACGAATTTTCCGTCTCAATGCCGCCTTTTTTTGTAGTGCCGGTTTGACCTTCGTGGCATAACCCCAATTTCCTCCTCCACTAGCTTCTCCATATCATACCATGTGGATAATTATTGTTACCGATAGAGTTGGAAAATCGGTCGGTCGGGTTCGGGTTTGGTCACTTTGAGTTCAAGTTATTTTGGGTTCGGGTCAATTCGGGTTCGGGTTAAGAACTGTATGTTCATGACCCAGTGTCTTCGGGTTCGGGTCGACCCAACAGGTTATGATTTTGGTCTTATAAATTTTTAAATTTACATTAACACTTACATTTTCTATTAAATAAATTTAAAATATAAAAAAATATGTATTAAATCTATTAGATTATTCTATTTTAAATCCTGAAATTTTTTTAGATATATAAATCAATATATGGAATTTAAAAAAAGCTTAAGTTTTTGAAAAAAATAAAATACTCCGTAATTATGCAAAATCATTAAAATTTTGTTTGAAAATATAAATTTATACATTAAAAACGAGTAGTAAAGTGTTTGATTTTGAAAAAACTATTACTCTAGTGGTCAGCCAGTTCGAGTTGGTCGGGTTTGACCCATTTTTAACGGGTCAACTTCGGGTACAGACAACTTCGAGTTTGGTCATCAAAACCATTGTTCAAAACTCAGTGTTTTCAGGTCAGGTTTTGGGTCAAAAACAGGCCAGGTCATTTTTTGCCAGATCTAGTTACCGAGGACTATCGAAGGAAAATATCACTATTATGAAGATATATGTAATTATTTGCTTATTGAGGATCGATTTGAAAACACGCATTTTTAGAAAAGATTGTTTTGGGAATTCACTTAATAAATTAAAGTTTTATATTCATTTAGTTCAATGCTCTTTACTACAGTACTTCGTATTATATTAAAGAAATCACCTTAAATAGAAGTAAAACATAAAGAAAGTTTCAAAGCAAGAGTTCCATGTTTTTATTTCGTTAATAAGAATTTACATTGTGGTAATATAGCATTATACATGTGAATTTTACTATACTCTTTAGTATTGTGCATGATCATGATTGGTAATCTAAATACATTTTAACTCTTATTTCGAAAATAAAAACATGCAACTCTTATTTTGATATTTGTTCAATGCTTACTCTTAATTTAGTTTTTTTCCATAATATTACAATAGAGCTAGCTTCGATATTACCATACCCTGTAATTACTCGAATCACGATATAAGAATATACATTTTCAATGTGTAAACTTTTTACATCGATGCGACACATACAAGTTCTCAAAACTAAATATTACCTCTGTTCCGAATTAATCGCCTCACTTTCTTTTTTAATTAGTTCTAAAATAATTGTTTTTACTTTTCATTAATCCAATAAAGTTTGGGAGCATTTGTTGAGATTTTCTCATGAATTGGAACCTGACAAAGTCTTGCTATAATCCATTTAACTTTTCATTCTGTAAACTTGGGAGCGAATCGCCACCGTCGGAAGCTGTTCCATTAATGGCAAAACTCTTTCAACTACAAATGGATTAAGTGTATGGTACAACCGGTTGTACCTAGAAATAGATACATCCGGGTAGTAATCAATCTGAGTTAAAGTAATACTCATTCTCGCACAAACATAACGGTTTATTTGAAATAGCGTGGTACTCATTCTGAAATAACGTACTTCGTAGTACTCATTTTGAAATACGTAGTACTCATTTACACACATTTGTACAATATTCATTTATGAATAATGTAATACTCATTCTAAAACCTAGTAGTACTCATTCTAAAATAATATAATGCACATTCTTAAATAACATACCATTCGTAAAAATCCAAAATCTTACTAAAGATCAAATTGGAATTAGAACATTTGGAATTAGAGTTTTGCCTACCAAATCTGGAATCGCCGATCTGGAGAGCCTTCTTAGGCATAGATTTCGCAGATCTTCCTTCTTCATCCCGACCGATTTTGCCCAAAACTGCCGCCGATCTCTTTCTTCATCGCCTCAGATCTATTTCGGCTTCCTCAGCTCTCCTTCCTCCGACCCGACCCGATTAGGGGCATCTTTTTCTCCTCCGATAGACGCCTTTTCTTCTTGATTTACAGGCTGTACCCAATTTTGGGTACAGCCGGTTGTATGGTATAATTTGCGCTACAAATGCTTTTCAGATGGCGTTTGAGATTTTGTCGATTAAGGTCACTCCTATCTTCATATATTCCTATATATATTTCGTGGGTTCAGCCGGTAAAGCCATTTCCTGTAAACTTTCCCGTCGATCATCACCGGTTTTCGGATCTCCGGCGACTTAGACCATTCAGAATCGGGTATTTGCTTAACCTAATTTTTTCGGATTGTCTTTTCCAGCTCTCTGTTGTCTTTCGGCGCACTAAATTAATTCTGTTTATGTATGTGTATTGGCTTGAACGCAAACCTTGATTTTCAAAGCTGAAATTGTTGAACTCATTTGCTCGCTGTTTTTAATTTTGTGTTTCTCTTCAGATATAGAGTGCTTTTGTGGTTGAGGTTATGGAAGACTGTTTATGGCTCCGGAATATAAAGGTTGATTTGGAACATTTAGTTAAGGCAAATGAATTGATGACAAACTCTTCTCGGGTGGACAGATTGAGCTGTCTGCCATGGGTGGTGCTTGACAATATCCTAGGTCGCCTCCCAATTGATGATGTTGCCAAGATGAGTGTTTTATCCCATATGTGGAAGAATAATTGGAAATATGTTTCTCAAAGTATTTGGATACATCTCCTTCATTCTCAACACCAAACTTCAGCCCAGTTATTAGCCCAAAATCTCGCTTATACATTTTTAAGACTCTATCACCAATGTGGAATCCAATAGTTCTAAATTTCATAGAACCAGCAAATAAGGAAAATGTTGGCAACAATATTGCATTCCACATTAGTGATAGAGTTTTAAAAATGTATAAGCGAGATTTTGGGCTAATAACTAGGCTGAAGTTTGGTGTTGAGGATGAAGGAGATGTACCCAAATACTTTGAGCGCAATGAACTAAGCAAAAAGTACTTTAAGGGAAACATGATTTTAACCCGGGATGAGGTGGAGACGGCTTTTCTGAAAATTGGAAGGTCTAAAAAAAGGGATGTCGGGGATGCAGTTAAGTTAGGGCTCCTTCATGTTCTAGAAAAAAAGGGATGTTGGGGTTTTAGTTCCTAATTTTTTTGGAGATAATTAGGAGTAATTAGGTTTTTTACATGGAAAGGGTGGGAGTGGCGAGGAGAACAAATAGGTCCACTTACATAATAAAAAGTGCCATTTAGAGAAGAAAAAGTTAGTGGTGCTACTATACACGGAAGTTTCCTATGTTCGAGTGTTCGAGTGCAATATGGAGCAAAAATTTCATGATTGTAAAGGGATTCAGCTGTGATGCTGTGGCTTCATGAGGGAGCTGCTGTCAATCCCAAGGGCATCCCAGGGCTTGCTTTTCAAGTATTTTTGTAACCAGTGTGGAGAACACTTGCGAAGATATGGCAATTGTGTGCTGAATAGGGTTGTAAATGAATCAAATATTTTTTGTTCGATTCGTGATTCGTATTCGTTTAAGGTGATTCGTATTCGATTTTTTCAAATCTGAATACGAATACGAATCTGAATAAATATTTGAATCCTTATCGAATACGAATATGAATCTAAGGGTATTCGATTCGTGAGTTTGACAAATATATTCGGAACATAAATCTAATTATACAAATTATATATACATACATACGTACGTACATACATAGATATATATATATATATATATATATATATATATATATATCAAATGGTTATAAAATATTTTAAAATCTAAATGAACTGAATATTTTTAAACGAACTGAATATATTTAAACGAATCGAATATTTAAACGAACCGAATATGTTTAATATATTAAACGAACCGAATACGAATCTTAAAAAATATTCGAACTGAATTCGAATTCGAATTCAAATATTACTCCATCTTAACGAATATGAATATTTTTCATGAATATTCGATTCGATTCAGTTCGTTTACAACCCCAGTGCTGAATGCTCTTGCTAAGAGCCTAAGACTATTATTTATTACTTCTGTTTTTGATTATTTGTCTAACTTTGATTTTTTATAGTCAACTGTTTTTAATTTTTGATCTATAATTAAATAAAATGTCTATTATATACTCCCTCTGTTCTAAAAAAATTCATGTTTCAATTTTTGCGCATTTCATAAAATACATTTACTCACATTTAAAATGACTAAAATTTGCCACTTTTTTACTTTATTGTGGGTAGAATTTGTTTTGATAGTTTTTTAGGCATTTGGGGCAGAGTAGAAGTATTTTATGGGATGTGCAAAAAGTAAAATAGGAATATTTTTTAGGGATAGAGGGAGTATTAATTAGATAAAATAATATTATGAAAATATTGAATAAAATGATTCTGATAAAATTATTTTTATATTAATATTTAATATTATTTTTATTTAATTTATGATCAAAGTTTACAAAATTTGATTTAAAAAGTTACAAGTAAATAAATACTCGAAAACCGATGGAGTCATTTATTTGGGCTTCTATTTTCCTATTATGATCTAGTTGAATTCTACTAGTCCGCAAAATAGTATGGTTGGGCTTGAATTTTATGGTACATGCCAGTCCAATATGTAATGAATAGGAGCCTGCAAGTTTGATGGTCCGGCTTGGGTTTTTTAATTTGTTCTAGCCCACGGGTTGGCTCTGTTCACACTAATTATAAGATGATAATATTAACAATAACTCTTGTCTTACTAAATTTTTTTTGTTTTGATTTTTTGTGGTTTTTTAAAGAGAATTGAAAAGGTAAAAAAATTACCAAAATACTCTAAATGAAAATGGGTAGTGTATTAAATGAGTTTGATGAAGTGTAATAAATAAAGTAAGGAAAGTAATTATACTCCGTAGTACTTTAAATGTTAAATATGGTAATGCGCAGATTTGTGAAGGACTAATAAAAAGAGTTAATGGGAACATATATGAGGGACAAAAAGAGTAATAATCATAATTCTAATACTAATAACAAAAAAATAAAATTAATAATAGTAACAATAACTACAATAATTATTACTCCGTATTATTACTACTATAGTTATTAAATAAACACACTTGATGATGTGGCAGGATATGGCAGGCAGTTGTCTCGCCACTGCTACTGCTCTAAGTGAATATATAGTGTGGCATGGTTGAGGGGTGTGACGGGGCGCGACGACCTATCACCACTTTTGAGACGCGTCCCATACCAGTATTTACGCTCTTTGAACACATTCTTTCCTGCAATATATACCGTACAACCGGTTGCACAATGTTTCTTGTACATCCACATTGAGCACTCATTTACAAGCAACTGAATTCTCGTTTTCGAGCTACTGAATATATTCTTTTTTTCTAAAATTCAGTTATTTTTAAAAATGAGTATTCAATTACTCGAAAATGAGTATTGAAATAGATGTAGGAGAAACATTGTATATTCAGATGTATGGTATATATATACTAGTTATTTTAACTTATTCTTAAAACAATACTTATTTTTATTATAATCAATTCAAATCAAACATGAGAAATAACTTTAACAAGACGATTCCCATGACATTGTTTGACAATGTCATAGGATGACCTGAAGGTACTCCAGTGTCATGTTTGTAAAATTGACGATTCTTACACCCCTAACCCCCAGTAAAGCCCCTCACCCACCCCGACCCAAACACCCCCCACCTTTTTAATTGCACCTCACGAGTTGATTTTGATTTTGGAGTCAAATTTTGACTAAAAGGTTAAAATTAACTTGTGGGTGCAATTGACGAGGTGCAGGGGTGTGTTCGGGTCGGTGTGGGGAGTAGGTTTACCGAGGAGTTAAAAAGAAACATCAACTTTGTAAACGAGACACTGGAAGGCCTTTGGATTAATTGCAATATAAAACCCCGCAAGACCTTTAAGTATACTCCGTAATATACGCCACCATCCGAAGCTGTTCCACATTTAAGCATGCACTACTTTCTATGAACTCCGCAGTTGTTGAGATATTGTGATGATTTATAGTCTTTCTTTGAACGCAATATAATCTCTTGGAAATGGCATTTCTACTTCCAAGTAGAAGGTCTGCGTACACACGCCTTTTCCACAAATCATATTTTTGTTGGGTTCCATTGAGTTTGTTCGTTGTTGTTGCTTAATGCAATGAAATGTCTTTGCCTGCAATTGCTTGCAGATTTGGGTCACAAAGTGCAAATTAGAGGGAAAAGTTATTGCAGGGGACAATGTAAGTGTTCTTGGACTACTTGATGTGTGGACAAATGATGTTGGTCAGATATCAGCCGTTGGTGATCTGTTGAATAGTTTTCAGAATCTTAAAGAGCTTTCCATCAATGTGAGTTTCATAACCAATATACCCACTTTCAAATTTTAGCTAACTTCACTTTATTATGTTGGTTTGCCTGTATTTGATCTAGAGGTCCCTTGGAAACAACCCCTCTACTTCTAAATATGGAAGATGTCTGTCTACACTCACCCTCCTAAAACCCTACCTTGTGTGGCTCAACCATCATCTTAAGAGCCCGATGTGCTCCACTTATTTTCTAGTTCTAATTTAAAGTTGATTAGATCTGAAACAATTTTAAATATAACTACTATCAGGTAAGATCAGATCAGGCACTCAACACAACATTCCTCCCCAAACCATACCGTGTGTTGGATTGTACTGGGCGTGTTATTGTAACTTCACATAATTTTTGTTGCCCTCTTGTCTTCAGCTAGCGCCTAATCACTCTTTGTTCTCATCCCGCTCGGCTTGGGGAGTCCATTCGGGTGTTTCCAACTTGTTATGCTTCAACCAGCTTATGTTTGTAAAAATCGAAACATTGTTTGATGATGCACATGTGACAAGGAACATGGGCTGGTTCTTTGGTCGGGCATTGATAGTTGCAATATTGAAATCTTCGCCTGCTTTGAAAGAGATGATTGTAAAGGGCATTGACAGTTGCACGATTTCATTTACAGTCTCTAATTTTTTACATTCTGATAAAAAAATTTTAAAAAAATCTCATTTTAGTAGCTTCCAAGTATATGCAGAAGTTATTCTAATCCTTGTAGATTTTTCTGAGTCTAACTAGTCTTTGTAGTTGCAATACTTGAATTAGTTTAGTCACTCTAGTGGAAATTAATCTAACATTTTTACCATAATGCTTACTTGACACAATAAGGGGCAAATTTGATCTCAAATGGATGGTGTATGATAAGGTGGAGAACTCTAGGCTATATAAATCCCTCACCACCCCCACCCCATTTGACTGGTGCGGTATTCGTAACACAATACAATTCCGCGTTGCACAAAAAAACAACACAAATCCAAGACGAACCACTCGGAATGCAAGGATACAATGTTCCCAAGACTCACTTTTGGCGGAAGCTTTCTTTAGTGTGGGTGAAAGACACAAATTATCACAAAGTGGAGTTCTGTTCACACAGTCAAGTAGTGCTGGAAGCCATTTGTTGTTGTTGTTGTTGTTGTCCTTTATGTCAGCTTCTGTTGCTTTTGTTAGTCGCACTTGTAATGTTGTAGCCCATGCCCTTGCTTGAAAGGCCGAGTCAGATTGTGTGGTGTGAGTCTTATCCCCTGACTTTGTTGTTTTGATTCAAAAACAACAATGTTATTGAGTATTTCAAGAAAACACATTTGATCACAAAATATGTCCTTCCACATCAATGTATTTTTCCATTTTTAAGGCTATTTGTCCAATTTAATCTTTAGTTAAACCAGTGCTTTCCACTCTTGGTAACGTTACTACCCTTATATAACTTTGTTTCCTTTCGGATTGATACCAAACCTCCCACAATATGGGAACAATGCAATTCAGCGTTGCACAAAAAAACCAACACAAACCAAAGACGAATCGAAAAAAAACATGTCATAAACCGTCTTGCAGTGTAGTAGTGCATTTATCATCCTAAGAACAGAAAGGAAGGCTATAAACAAATCTAAGATCATTTGCCAACATGAAGTTCACAGCTTTTTGATGACCGGTGACTGGCAGACAAAAACAATCCAGTTTCGTTCTGTTCATATTCACCCACGTTGCAGTATTGCCAGTATATATCCATCCTTTCCAAGCACGTTGCCTTCCACAACAAAAATTGCACGGCAAACAGCTCTCCTGTGGTTCCTCTGAAACCGTGAATCGCAATTCTCTTGAGAGTTGAAGATAAACATGTGAGCTTTGATTTAAACAGGCGACCAGAAGATTTGGCGGTGATCCCCTGATCATGTATGCAGTACACATTCAAGTATCATATATCGCACGATTTCTCGAAAAAAAATATTTTGTATTCATTACTTCCTTGACGAAAAACAAAGAGGATTAAATCATTTACTTGATATGTGGTATATATGCTACGAAAATCTGATTATCAACTTGAAAAAAGTGTGTGGGCTCCATATATAAGTTGAAGAAAATACTTCATTTTAATCTTAGTTTTACATATTATTGTAAGTAATAACACTATTATTGATCGTATTTCAAAATTAAGCAAAGAGGAAAATAGAAAGGTCATTTTTAGTGTGGTTAAAAAGTCATTCTCAGACTCGCTGGGGCAACCCGATCACGCATGTTTAGGGTTAGGGTTGAGGGGCTTTAAACCCAAACTTAAAATGACCCAACCCAACATTGACATGATTTACAGGTCTCTTCAGACAGAATTGGAACCAAGGATAAACAAAGAGAAGACGGATGAAAAGAGTTACCGCCATGAATGTAAGAGTTTTCAAGCGCGGAAATTTATTATGCATCTTCTCCAGTTCTCTGCAACTGAGATTTGCTGGCTCTTCCGTGAGAACCAAACTGCTCAAGCTTTTGAATATTGGGACTGAAGCATGAGTGAAGGCCTAAAAAACAGCAAAGTTAAAAGTGGGGATAATTTTAAAGTGAACAAAAATTATGTAGCATACCTCAACAAAATAAGCTGCCAGTTCCAAGTATTCAACCGATTGGAGAGCACTTAGAACCTCATTTAAATGATCAGTGCGTAGGTCCTCTAGGGGTGTGCCATGAGGACTTCCAAGACTAGCATTGGAAATGGAAGATGGACAATCAAAGTGGTATGATTTGAAAAATCCACCAACATAGTGGAATACATTCAGTTCAGGGGAAGATATTGTGACAGATCTCGAATCAAACTCAGTTGTGTCATCTTCATCATAGAACTCCTCTATAGTTAAATGCCTGAGTTTGGGTGCCGAAATACTTACCTCAAATGCATCACCTTTCCACCGGCACTCATCTATGACCAACTTCTCAAGAGCAGGACCACCAAATAGAAGGTTTAATGGGCGATAATCTATAAAGGTCAATTTTTCGAGCGTCAAGGTCCTGAGACGAGGGAGACATATTTGTGAAGGAAGTAGAAGTCTATAACATCCTGCTAGTCTCAACACTTCTGTTTCTTCAGAACTAAACAGGCAATGGGGAAGCATATGTTGATCATTCTCATGTACATTAAGATCACAATATATGATAGCAACCTCCTGGGGTTTACGTCTCACTGCAGCAGATATCCATGTTCTGATGCGGGAAATATCGTTTCTCACCCTGCAATAGAGGGTAAATTTATGTATCCTAGGCGCATCATGGAAAATCAATACCCTGTCAACAAAATCCTCAGAAACCATTTTTTTCTCCCACGGATGTCCTTTTTCAAGACCCTTTCTTCCACTGACATCAAAATCAAGAACGGGAAGGGATGTCCACATGTATTGCCACCTTTTGCATAACACACTTGTTTGAACAGCACACTTTGTGCTGAGAAAAGATAGGATCAGCCCAAGTATTGCATCAGGCAAATCATTCAAGCTCCTATTCCACGAACAAGTGCCGTCTTCTTTTTCATTCAACTGCTTCCTCCTAAGCTTGCTAGCTGGTGAGCATGTGTCCATACTTGTTGTCAATGCCCTGTTTTGAGTTGTTTGCAGCATCAGAATGTATAGAAAATATAACTTCTTTCGTTTTGAAATACAAAACCAAGCTAGATTTGCCAAAAGAAATAAATGAATATATAAAAACCTCAAAAGAAAACACCCAAATAAACAGAATGGCACAAGATATGCCATAAAAACCTCCCAATCATAGCTGATACCATAAAGACTGAAATAAATTTCTACAATTGAACCCTAAAACCAATCGGATGCCCTAAATCCGTGAACAATCTACAGTATAATTGAAATCTGAAACCTAAGAACAGTCTACATTCTGCAATCCATACCTAATAAAAGCACTTCGCCGGTCTTCTTCCTTTCTCGTTCGATCGTCTCCGTCGGATTATCTTTGTTGGTTCCGAAGCTTCGTTTCGCGGCAGCAGGGCTATAGGCGTAACATAAAGACTAGAATTTACTCATTGAGAGAGTACATTGATATGAGAAAATAAAGAAATGAAAAGATAAATTTATTCATTTCTTATAAATGAAGTGAATTTATTCAATTATGGTGTGGATTTAGGACCATCTTTTTTTAAAAAAAAAATATGTAGACAGTTATCGTGTGTTGTACTTCCTAGTCTCAAAAAATATCATCTCACTTTGTACAAAATTTTATTTGTTTTAAAATTATTTTATTTATTAAATAATACAGAGTAATTGAAAATACATAAATAAAAAAATTAGAGAAGAACCAAAATAGTAATAGAAATGAGACTTTTGGAACGGATGAAGTATGAGCAAAAAATTAATTAAAAAATTTTAAGAAAATATCCTAAAAAATATGTTATAACACTCATTTAAAATTGAAATATTGTAAAATTGAGAAACTAAAATAAAGCTTTGCAGTTTAATGTACATTTTAACTAAATGTATTGAAATGTAGAAAAATCGGGCATTTGGATTTTAAATTCAGATTTTACCCAAATTATTTGTTTGGAAATCTCAAAAAAATAAATCTGAATTTAGACCAAATTTCCAACAAATTTGAGTGACAAATACATACACTCCCTCTTGCAATTTGAAATCCAAGAAATCAAGTTTTAAAATTAAAATCCAACGCAAATGATTTCTAATTGAATCTTTAAAGTAAAAAATATGCATAGGCATTTCCCCTCTTGGTAACGTTACAACATTACTGCCGCTATGGTCTGATTTCCTTTGGGATTGATCCCGAATCTCCCACAATGCTGGAACAATGCAATTCAATCTTGCACGAAAAGAATCAACACAAACCCAAGACATATCGAAAAACAAGTAATGCAGTTTCCATCAAGTGATGACCAAATATGAATCTGAAACTGTCTTGCAGTACAATACAGGATTTGTCATCCAAAGAACAGAAAGATAGCTATAAAGTAGTGTTTGAGAACTAGCATTTAAAGACCATTAGCCGACATAAAGTTCACAGGTTTCAGATGACCGGTGACAGGCAGACAAAAACAATCCAATTTCTTTGGGTGCATCCCCACCCTCATAGCAGTATATATCCATCTTTTCCAAGCATGTCCCCTTCCACAACAAAAATTGCACTGCAAACAGCTCGCTTGTGTTTCCATTGAAATACGAAATTGAAATTCTCTTGAGAGTTGATGATAAACACGTGAGGTTTGAACTTAACAGGCGACGAGCACAATAGTCGGTGGAGATCCCCTGATCACATTTGTGCTATATAGTTAGTTATATGTATGTATCATCATATATCACATGGTTCAGAGATAGACCTATAGATTTTCGACCCGGCTCATACATTTTAGGGTCTTGGACATAGACTTTTTTTAGATTTGAACCTGTTTGACCAGAAATATTTTGGGTCAAACCCAACCCAACCCGTTTGGACTTGTTGGGTCGACATCAATACTTAAATGTCATCGATATACTTGAGACTTTTTGTTAGAATATAAAAACATTTCCTTTGCCACGATCACAAGTCTGAGCTTTGCTTTTGGTTGGGATGGTTCATTGACATGGTATCAGAGCTTTTTGCTTATTCATTACTTTGATAAAATATATGGAGGATTAAATAATTCACTTGATATGTTGTATACTCCCTGATCCAGGAATTTCCTTCCCGATTTGACCCGGCAAACATATCAATGAGAGATGAAAAAACAATTGATTTTGTGCATTTACCCTGAGATGAAGTCTTAAATAAAGTAAAAAGTGTACATGAAATATGATGATTTGATAGCTATTTATTAAAAGTGGAAGTATAAATTTCAGACCCTACTCACGTGGGATCCAAGTATCCAACTAGCTTGTTGTTGTTCTATGCCATGAAAGGAAATGCGAAGAAAAAGTATGGATGGAGGGATTATATGCTACGAAAATATGATTTTAATGAGACTAAAAAGACGTTCTTGACTCGCCGGGTCAACCCAAACCCACATGTTCCCAGTTAGGGTTGAGGGGTTTTCACTTTTCGCCCCGAATCTAAAATGACCCGATTTACAAGCCTATTCAGGGAGAATCGGAACCAAGGATCAAAAAAGAAAAGACAGGCGAAAGAAGTTACCCCCAAGAATGTAAGAGTTTCCAGGCGCGGACATTGATTAAGCATCTTCTCCAACTCTTTGCTGCTGAGATCTACTTGATCCTCAGAGAGATCCAGTCTGATCAAGTTTTTGAACACTGGGACTGAAGCATGAGTTAAGGCCTAAGAAAAACAGCAAAGTTAGAGGGACAAAAAAAATTATCGTGAACAAAAATTATTTACCACTCGCTCCGTCACACAAAGTATTTCTCAGTTTCCTTTTTCATGCGTCTCAAAGTAATTTTCTCACTCACTCTCTTTCCCTTTTTGGAAAAAGAATGTGGTTCAAAATACTTCCCTTTTTCATGCGTCTCAAAATAATTTTCTCACTCTCTTTCCCTTTTTGGAAAAAGAATGTGGTTCAAAATATTTCTCTCTTCTAAACAAACTCTTACAACTCATTTTCACTATTCAACATCTTTTCAACGCTTTTCTTAATCTCCGTGAAGTCAAAGTGGGAAGTCATTTTTAGGACGGATGGGGGGGTATACCTTAACAAAATAAGATCCCAGTTGCAAACATTCCACTGATTGGAGAGCGGTTAGAACCTCACTTAAATGATCAATGTGTAGGTCCTCGATGGGTAAGCAATCGTGACTTTCAAGAGTGGCATCGGTAATAGAAGATGGACAATGGAAGTGGTAGGATTTGAGAAGTCCACCCTCATAGTGGAATATTTCCACCTCAGGGGAAGATATTGTGACAGATTTTGAAGCATGCTCGGTTGGGCGATATAACTCATGGGTCTCCTCTATAGTTAACTTCTTGAGTTTGGGTGCTGAAATATTTACCTCGGATTTACCCCCTTCCCACTCGCAATCTTGCATGACCAACTCCTCAAGAGCTGGACCACCAAATAGAAGGTTTAATGGGCGATGGTCTTTAAATGTCAAGCCTGAGAGTATCAAGATCCTGAGATGAGGGAGACATGTTCGTGAAGGAAGTATAAGTCTAAAATCTCCTTGTAGTCCCATTACTTCAGTTGCTTCACAACTAAACAGGCAATAAGGAAGCAAACGTTGATCACTCACACGAGCATTATAAATAACGATATTAACCTCCTGGGGTTTAAGCCTCACTGCTGCAGATATCCATCTTCTGATGTGAATCATGTGAGACATATCGTCGCTCGCCCCGCAAGAGAGGGTAAATTTATGTATCTTAGGTGCATCGTGAAAAATCAATACCCGGTCAACAAAATCCATGAAAAGCTTTCTTTTCTCACTTGAAGCTCCTTGTTCTTGAACCATTCTTTCTCTGTCGTTAAAATCAAGATTGGGAAGGGATGTCCACATGTATTGCCACCGTTTGCATAATACACTTGTACGAACAGCGCATTTTGTTTTGAGGAGAGATAGGATCAGCTTAAGCATTGCATCAGGTAAATCATTTAAGCTCCTCTTGCACGAACAGGCATCGTCTCTTTCATTCGACCTCTTCCTCTTAATCTTGCAAGCTAGCGAGGACACGTCCATTCTTGTTACCAACACCCTGTTTTGAGTTTCCAGCATCAGAATGTGCAAACTTTAGGACAATGAAAAGCTAATGCTACAAACTTGAGCTGAATGTGAAGAGAAAATAAGTTCATTCATTTTGAAATATAAAGCCAGGCTACATTTGCCGAAAGAAATACTCCGTAGAGTAATATGTACTCCTCAAAAGAAAACACCCAAAATGCAGAAGAGGACAAGACATGCTCATATGCTGGCAACAAAATAATATATATGAAGTTCCTCGAATAAAATTTCAGGAATATCGATCGATAAATAATATCCTAACGAAACAATACAACACGAAATTGAACCAAGTATTTCACATTCTCAACAAGACAACAATAACATCATCAGATGCCCAACTCCCCTATGAAAACAAAACTTAACCCTGCTAAAAATTTATAGTAGATTCATGAGAGAAAACCCAAAGCTGGAATCAAAACCTATATAGAGAAAGAATCTTCTTTTTTCTTTTAAAAATAACCTTTATGCAACAAAAACCTCCCAAACATAACTTACACCATAAAGACTAAGGCCCCGTTTGGTACAGGAATTCAAACTATGAAATTTGAATTGAGGACTTCAATTTCAATTCTAGTGTTTGGTAGGACAAAATTTATGTGGATTTGAAATTGATAGTGTAAAAATGAAATGGAATTGGTGAATTCAATTCTATGGAATTGAATCCCGTGAAATTTCAATTCCAATTCTATCAATTCCATATACCAAACGGACCCTAAAGTAAATTTATACAATTGAGGCCTATGAACAATCTATAATTCAAATCTATGAACAATATGCATTCTACAATCGAACCCCATGAACAAATTAGATACCCGAAATAAAAATGCAATTGAAACTTTTAAATAAAAAAAAACGGAGTGTTATCTTATTCATACTTCGATTATCTTTGTTGATTCCTAGGCTTCTCTGCGCGCCAGCAGGTGTATGGCAGCTCGAGAATGCTTGGGGCTGTTCGGCTCTGTAGCATTTAAATACGCGAACCGAATTGTCCACCTGAACTCAACTCAAAAGGTCAATTCCTCCCGGCTCGACCCAGTAATTTCAGTCTGTTTTTGAGAGAAGTTTTCATCAAATGTGATTTTTATAAAACATGTAGAGTAAAATCACTTCATTTTTTCTGAAAGCATTCTATATACAAGTGGTAGAGAAAAGCAGAAATCAGCATGTCAAAAAGAGTAAAACAATTACCGCTCAAAACAGAAGCTAAATTCTTAAAAGTAGGACATTGCTAACTCAAAGATGCTGTATATACTACTCCTTAAAGAGTGTTTCTATAATGCACCTTGGATGCATGTCATTTTTATGGATCTTCTCACATAAAAAATATTTTTTTTAAATTTTTTAATAAAAGATACTCCCTCCATTCTTGAAAATAACTCTAATTTTGACCAAGTATCAAAATAAAGAAGTGTTAAATTATAGTTGAATTCTAATTTTGCCCTAATATGATGAATAAATGTAAGATTTGATATATACGGAGTAGCTTATTAGAGAAAAGTATGATGTGATAGATAAGATAAGAAAAAGTAGGGATAAAAATGATTTTGTAATAAAAAGTGGAAGTAGTTTGGTGAAAGAGAAAAAAATGAAAGATGAAGTGTTTTGTAAAACAGTGAGAGTAAATGCTTATTTAAGTAGTAAGAAAATGCTGATTTTGCTCATATGTAGGCCTACCATAAAATTTGTCCTCCTTAAAATATATGTGTAATCTTCAATACTCTGTATTTTTATACTTTATTTAAATGATGAATTTACTTAAATAGTACTAAAACATGGTAACTTTCCAATGTAGTATGGAGTATTATATGTTTTTATTTACCAATGTGGTATCACTAGTCATTGTCCACTAGTCATTGTTCAAGTAAATGTCAACCGCTACTAGACATTGCCCACACTCATTATATTGTCTCATTGTAACTGCCACATTATCACCTCAACTCTTCCCACCTCCTCGGCGAGACAAGCTACCTTTAGCTAGGAGCCAATGATTACAATACGAGGTAACTTTGTCATATATTGAATACCACCTAGATATTTTTGCAAGCGAGCTAATTTTCTTTTTTAACATAGTTGCCTCTTTTTTGAAAGATTATTGAGTCCCCCCTTTTTTGTTCCATTCTTAAGTGCCTAGACTTCTGAAGTCTTGTTTCTATGGTGGACCAATTTGTTAGCATACCACCAAGCCATTTTTTATTAACATAATGACACCTGGCCCTTTTAGAAGCGCACGCGACTGCTTCATCTGCTGCATTATTTGTACCAACAATTAAGAATTTTTTTTTCCCTTACTCGCGGCATACAAAACTACTACCTCCGTCCGGAAATATTCTTCTCACTTTCCTTTTTGGTCCGTCCAGAAATATTCTTCTCATTTCTTTTTTAGTATACTTTTTAAGGATAAATATCAATAATACCCTTCTATTTTATCACAAATCTATATTTTTAGTACTTTTTTAATAATAAAAAGAGATTTAAAAGTTTATAGTATGTGTTTTTTTGAAAAATTGTCATTTTTTACTATTCCTTAATAAGCGTGTCAAGTCAACACGAGAAGAATATTTCTGGACGGATGGAGTAAATCACAAGCTTCGGATAAAAAATGTGTCGTTCTAGTAAGATTTGTAATATGAATACCTTTACGCTTTGCGGAAATATAAGGAGCGATCGGGATGGATTGGAGTTCGTCGCTTGCTGATCTTATTCACTATCATCGTCGCTGCTGGCAACTAGAATGCCGCCGCAGATCACCGATGATTGAATGATTATACTGATAAATTACATCACACTGTCATTATACTATTATCTTGATCTTAAAATAGTTTAAACTCTTATTTTAATATTTTCATAATTTTTTACTCTCATAACAAGTAGATTTCTTTTATTATATTAGCTCAGTTTTGTTGCCTACCCCATGTTATTTACAGTAGATGATATGTGAAAAAACTACCGTAAGTAAAATCAATCATTGTACTGTTCCATATTTTGTCATCACTCACCGAATAGAATCCATTATTCCGAGTTTACTTGACACGTTTTCGCTCAAGAAGAATTCACTCGATAAAAATTCTCTGAAACATTTCACACGTATAGAAGCAAGCCACAGATCTCTCCCAAAATCTCAAATTCCCCACAGTTTCGAAAATTCGGGGGGGTTTTACACTTCATTGAGACCTAGTTGAGGGCAATGGAGTAAAGAGATGACGAGGAGGAGGAGTTAATCGATGGGCATGGCCAAGGCATGGAGGCATGGCGGCGGCGCGTTGAGTAACCTGACTGCTGTGGCGGCGGTGCAGCATCGGCAGAAGCAGCATTGGTTCCTCTCTTGCACCTCTTCGTGGAGGCGGTCAGTCTCCTGGACCGCCGTCTGCGGCGTTATACTCTTCGCCTTGGGGTTGATTTCGCTATTCACTGGCCACGTCGCGACGAATCTCGACTGGTACTCACAGCACGCCTGGTTCTTCCGACGGGTAACCTACGCTGAGCTCCATCATTTCCCCTCATCGCAGAGTAGATTATTTAGTCTTCTTCCTTTGTAGTATCTGGATTGAATTTTCAGCTTGTAGTTAGAACGGACCTCTGATTCTCTGAAGTTCTAAATTGGCTATAAATTAGGCAAAAAACCTGCAGTGAAGCACAGTTTATGTGTTCAGAACTAGCATGATTTGAAAATTCACATGAATACGTATTCTAGGCTCTAACTAATCCAACTCTGCCCTTTTATTGATGATGTGTAGGAAAAGAGTATTCGTGAACCCATAGATATTTGGAAATCAAAATATTCAAAATTATACTACGGATGCAGCGACAGAGGTCCTGGTTTTGCTGGTAAGTAATCTACCATTTGTCGTGTCATGGTGTACTTGGATAGTTGGATGCGAGATGTCATGTTCTCTTATAGCAATGTATCACTTACTCTTAATCATGATTCGTCTATTCTGGTCTGTGAATGGCTCCATTTTATTCATATTCCTTTCATTAATATTACAATGCAGTTCGGGAGTATGTAATAAGTACACAATTGCTCCAGCCCAATAGACCTTTTATGCTCCATCCGTCTCAAAAATAACTTCTCGCTTTGACTTCATGGAATTCGAAAAAAGTGTTAAACGTGTGCGGTTAGATTCTTTTAGAAGAGAGAGAAATGTTGTGTGCCACATATTCATTTTCTTGAAAGGAAATGAGAAGGGTGAATTTATGTTGAGACAGATGGAAGAGGAAAGTAGGAAATTACTATTTGAACAGAGGGAGTATTACAACAACTACTTAATGTTGTTGTCCTTTTATTTCTGAACTTTCATATTATCATCATGAAAATGATTCTCAGTCCACGTATGCCATGTTGCTTCTTAAACTTGTAGAATGCATTTATCCTGATATATGAATAGCTCGTCTGCTTGTGGCTATTGTATAAGTTTTGGAGAAAAAAGTGTCCCTTACAGTGCCAAGTTGAACTGTAGGTCCTGTTAAGGAGCGATCATCAAATGGGTACTTACTCATTGCAACTAGTGGAGGGCTAAACCAACAAAGAACTGGAGTAAGAATTATTTATCATTTTTTAGTAGTGATAATGTTAATAGGATAGTAGGTTGTTCAACAATTTTAAATTCTTTTATTACTTTTAAGTTTTCTTGCTCATTATGTTGATTTTTTTAAAAAAAAAATTCATTTATTGTTTCACAGATAACTGATGCAGTGGTAGTTGCAAGAATTCTAAATGCAACTTTAGTGGTACCTGAGTTGGATCACCATTCATTTTGGAAAGATGATAGGTTAGACCAAATTGTGTTGTTTAATATAAGTAACATCATTGCAAGTTTTTTTTAATTGTGATGATCTAAACCGTTTTTTGCATATTCTAATTATTTTCGTTTTCTTCTTTATGTTATAAATATACTACAATGTAGTGATTTTGTCAACATATTCGATGTGAATTGGTTTATCAATTACCTGGCCAAGGATGTAACTATTGTCAAGAGAGTCCCAGAGAAGGTTATGAGATCAATGGAAAAACCCCCATATACAATGCGTGTTCCTAGAAAGTCAGAACCAGAATATTATTTGGATCAAGTATTGCCAATACTCTTACGAAGACGTGTAAGTGACAAACATGTCACTGCAGCTGTTGATTTAATTCAATTTTTCTTGATGCGAGTTTCCACTAGTGCTTTTTTATGCAAGAGAAAGCACAATCTTATGTGTATGTGTGCTGCATTTATCTTTTAGAATCCGGTAGCCAATGTATTCCTTACCAAGCGTCATGTATTTGAAACCTGATGCCATTATGCTGTAGGTGAACTCAGCCCCATCAAGTCTTCTTCTCCGTGTATTAGTGTATCTGATGTTGAAGGATTTTAATTTTTTTTATTGTGCAAGCATAAAAAAGTAGTTTTCACATAATTGCGTTCTATAAACCATTAATGAACAATTCCCTAAGTTTAGTGATTCTTGTATTGGTGCTATTGTTTTGACTTGTATTAGATTTATATGGCCAAATTCTTGGTAATTGTTCCTTATTTGTGGGGTGGGCGGATACTATGTTATCCCATTTGTGTCATAAATTACTTCCTCAGTTCATCTGTCCTAAAATGAAGTTCACATTTGCTTTTTCATGGAGTAAAAGAAATGATGAAATTGTGTGGTTGAGGTTAATGCAGAGGACAAATAAATAATGTGAATGGTTCAATGTTTTCCTTAGAAGGAACGATAACTTTAATTTGTGACATTCCAAAAAGGTAAGTAGGAACTTTATTTTGTGACGGAGTATAATGATATGTAGAGCGACTTGCTAGATTTTTTTCAAATAATTTACTGTTCTTGTGAAGTATCTCTTTTGCATTCACGAGGTACACTGCAACATAAGTTGTGTGGAAGAGTGCATTGTAACATGCAATCAACTCTAAATAGTTTCACATTGGGGCTGCGTACTTGGACATTGAAACTCTTAGTGAGCATTGGGCCTATGCAGGTTATCAGTGTATAGCAGAGCTTATTGCATGAGCTATATTATATGGCCAGAACCTGCTTTGCTTATCACTTATATGGAACTTCGTATAGCGTCTTTAACTAGCCAACATAACACTATTCTCTTCTTATGTGAATATCGAAAGACTTGAATGGTAGAATGAGTTACTTGGTAACTTCTACTCTGGGTATATGCTAATCGGAAGTTTGCAATGGGTCACAGGTTCTTCAGCTGACAAAGTTTGATTATCGACTTACAAATGAACTTGATGAAGAGCTACAGAGGTTGCGTTGTCGAGTGAATTATCATGCTTTAAGATTTACCAAACCCATAAGAAGTATGGGTCAAAAACTTGTGATGCGCATGCGGAAGATGGCAAAACGTTTTATTGCTGTTCATTTGAGGTTTATCTCTTTTAGTCTTCTTTCCAACTTGTGCTCTTCAATTGTTCATTTTATGATTTATTTTTTCAGATCATTTAAAAAATTTAAATTTACTGATTGCTAACATTCTACTCCCTCCGTTTGGGAAAACACTTCCTAATTTGACCAAAGGCCAAAATAAGGAATGGATAAATTATAGTTGACCTTCCAATTTTTCCCTTGATGTGATGGGTAAAAGTAAGATGTGATGTATAGGTTATTAGTGAAAAAGTATGATGTGATAGGTAGGGTAAGAAAAAGTATGGGTAAAAATGATTTTTTTATTGAAAGTGGAAGTGTTTTGGTGGAAGAGAAAAAAATGAAAGAGGAAGTGTTTTGGGGGACGGAGGGAGTAAGTCTTTTTCATTAATGCCTTCTTCATTACTTGAGTTGATTGAGTCAATCCTCCACCATTATCAACATCTCAGTCTCAGCTATATTGGGGTTGGTTGCAGTTTTTAGGTCGTTTAGTCAAATCTCTAAAATTAGGTTAACCCTATTAACTGATGCAAACAGTGGCTATAGTCTATTTTGGATGCCATCCTTAACACAATTTACAGCCTTATGAATTAACAACCATTCATCTGGTGCATTTTTTAACGGCCGCATGTGCATCGGTGGTAGTGTTATTTCACTTTTATGGTAGATTGTTGGAGATTTTAAATGGGTTCATCAATTGTGAAAAAGTATACTCCATCCGTCTCACAATTAACACAATGCTTTCCTTCTATGTCTATCCCAAAATAAACTTTTTATTTCACCTTTTAACTATTTAGGAAATGAATATGTGGTAGTTAACATGTCAATTTTCTACCCCGTGGTGCAAAATTTCTTCCTACATATTTTGTCTCTGTTTCTCATGTTGCTTTTGTTGGAGTTTGTCACAGGTTTGAACCTGATATGCTGGCATTTTCTGGATGCTACTATGGTGGGGGTGATGAAGAAAGATACGAACTTGGTCAAATAAGGAAACGATGGGATACATTACCTGTAAGATTATATGCTTTGCAGCAATTTCTTTGTCTGGTTTCATTTCAAAGTACATGCTAATTGCATACTTGCAGTGCATCAAATATGATGATATGCTTATGGAAGTTGAAGGTTTTCTGTGTTAGCTACTTAGCTTCTATAATTGTTAGGAACCTTTCTAATCTTTAAGCCTTTAAGGTAGAATATCTTGGGCCATCTGCTCATTGGCTTATTGTTATTATTATGATCACCATCATTATTATTCTCATTTTTCGCCAAAGATTTCTATAAAATGATGTCTATTTTGGTGCAGGAAGCAAGCCCGGATGAAGAGCGGATGAGAGGGAAATGCCCTCTGACACCACATGAAGTTGGTCTAATGCTGCGAGCATTGGGATTCGAAAATGACACGTACCTTTTTGTTGCATCCGGGGAAGTATATGGTGGAGAAAAGACTCTGCAGCCCCTAAGAGAACTGTTTCCAAACTTCTATTCCAAAGAGATTCTTGCCGGTGAAGAATTAATACCTTTCTCTCCATATTCTTCTCGCATGGCCGCAATTGACTACATCGTGAGCGAGGAAAGTGATGTCTTTGTCACCAACAATAATGGAAACATGGCAAAGATCCTCGCTGGTCGAAGGTAACAATTGCTCCTTTTGGTAAATTTGGATTCACACCCTTGAAGATTTTGCATGATAACCGAATTTATCATCCCTTCTATCCCTTTTTCGTGTTTGATGCATTTCAAACATGAAAATGGCTTTTGGAAAATGATTTCCAGAAATTGAGTTCTGGAAAATGACTTCTGAAAAATAAATTTATTTTCTTGTGTTTGGTTGAAAGTTTGAAAAATGAAAAGAAAAACTATTTTTTTGAACATGTCATAATAAAACATGGTTAGTTTCAATTCAAGGAGAGAAGGGTGAAAATCATTTTCCATTGACTCCTATTTTCCGGAACAACTAAACACTGGAAAATGGGAAAATGACTTCGGGAAGTCATTTCCCTCCTTCCCAAACGTACCATAGTTCTGTGTTTGATATAATGAAAGTTATACCACATTGTGACATGAAAAGCTTGATATAAGACTTGACTTCTTCAGCCTGTTTGAGAATAATGTTATTTTCAAACCTTGTGAATTGTGATGGAAGGCGTTACATGGGACACAAGAGAACCATAAGGCCAAATGCGAAAAGACTCAGCGCTCTGTTCATGCAACGGGAGAAGATGGATTGGGATGCGTTCGCCACAAAGGTCAAATCATGCCAGCGCGGGTTCATGGGAGAGCCCGACGAGATGAAACCTGGGCGTGGCGAGTTCCACGAGTACCCCGCCGCCTGCATCTGTCGCCAACCGTTCAAGCTGTCCGACGACGCGAATTCTACTCAAGAACACATCATCGATGACCTCAGCGCAAAGAACATGCAGGAATTCACGAAAGTGAGTGAAGAGTCGATGTCATCTGTACTCCAAGAGAGTGACCATGAGAATGACCCATTGTCTGATTAACCCAAAAGGAATCTACAAAGCATCACTGGCCTTGAAAGGAGGGACATATCTCCAAGGAAAGGTATGGGATCTCTTCCAAAAAATGCTATTCTACTTTGATGTCCCATTCTTCTTATGTTCCCACATAGCACAAAACTTTGGCCCCTTTTCATTGTTGTGTTATGTGTCAACATGTGAAGGGTAAAAAAAACATGAGATTGGAATAACATTTTTGGGACAGGGAATCTGATCTTTCAAAGGAAATGGTTGCCCCTCCACACACACGTGTGGTACGTGATCGTGGAATGGACGGGACCCATATTTGGAAGATGGTCCTAGACCAAGCGTTGCTCGGGGAGCCCAAGTTTTGTTCTAACTAGTGACCATGAGCTGCAACTGTTCATAAACATGTGTACTACTACTGCTACAACTACTATGATGTTTTTTTGTATCATAGAGAGTTTCTTGGCTTTTGATTTTTTTTTTTTTTTTTGGGAGTCTGTTTATGCTTTGCCGGACTTGAGATATATATTTGGAGCC